ACCACCATACACACACACACACATACACACCCATACAGGACAGATCAAGCATCTGGAGACACAGGCTGGAGCCCTGGTCCTGCCACTGATTTCCTGACTCCATCTTCCTCCTCTGGAAGAGCCTTGTTTCCCCATTTCCTCATGGACAATGGGGATGCTGCACACAGTGTACACTATGGAAGTGCTCACTGTCCATCTTCTCTGCCTCTCCCAGGCCAGGACACCCTTGGACTCACGTCCCATGGAGCCCCATGCTCGGTTTCTGGGGAGTGGCTGGAGGAGGGACATGACAGGAAGCCTGGGACCCATGACCAATGCCTACCACTCCTCAGAAGTTTGGGTAACATCAGAGGTCCTGAGGCTTAACAGAATATCTTGATCATTGCTCCTCCACTGGGGCACAGAGAATGATCCAGGTAAAGCCAACCGGACCAGCAGGACGAGCCACAGAGACGACTGTGGTTGGGACGGAGAAGAGTTTCTAGATTGAGCTCTGCCACTGACTCTCTGGGTGACTTGCCAGGTCTCTGTTTACTCTTCTGTAAAGTGGGAGCCATGAAGAAAAAGATGCCAAGAATAAAGCACCACCAAGAGTAAGGGATGCTACTCAAGGGCAGTCTGCTCCCAGGGCCCTTCGCTTGGTGCTGACAGCGCCTGGCTCTATGCCGCTGCTAATTCCTTATTACTGAGGCTGCCTGCTTTCCTCCCTCCCACCTGACTCAGAAGGTCCACGAGGTGTGGTCTCCCCTCTGAGTCTAGGCCCACCCAGTCAACTTAATTTGCTGGAGGGAGGGTCAGGCCACTCCAGCCAACAGGCACTCCAACAACAGGCCCCCTTGCCTGAGTCAGAGCTCAGCTTCCCAGGTCTGGCCAGAGAGAGCCGGGTGTCTTCCCAAGCTCCCAGCTGGGCTGGAATGGCCCTTCCTCCCTTAAAAACTTCAGAAGACGGTCAATACCTGGGGGCCTTTTTTTTTTTTAACTTTTTCTTTAAAAAAAAAACAAAACAGACCTCATGCATACTAAGCATGCACTTTACCACTGAACTATACCCTCAACCCCCACCTGGGGATCTTTTAAAGCAAGACTCTGTGGTCATCCCTCTAAGGGTTCCAACAGCCCCATGTGTGCAGGAGCCTGAACCCCTGTCTGATAAGTCTTATGAAACTTTTGCTGCTATTTTCACATCTCCAACCGGTGGATGAGAGAGGCGAAAAGGAGGGGGGTCCTCAGCAGATAGCACTAGGACCCAGGGAGGGCACCTGGGTTAACAGCTCCAGGAAGAGCCTCCTAAGAGTTGAAACTATCCAACAAGAAAGCAGTCTGCTTCAACGGAGCATTCCCTGAGCCTGGAGATGCTCAGAAGAACGGTGGCAGGTGTTCTGTGCCAAAAATGTACTCCGGTCAGATAGGTATGGAAAATGTTGGGTGGAAGAAACGTTAGCCAGTTTTTAACCACTGGACGTCTCATAGCCTTTACTGTGCTAGTGGGTGTTGTGTGTCTCCAAGGGAGGACGCAGTACGTTCTGTCTGCCAAATGGATTGACCCCAAAGCCCTTCCCCCAAACCCGCCAAACATCACTTGACAGTAGGGCTGCATCTTCAAGCCACATCTGTCTCTGGAGGAAGAGGGAAAGAAAAGAACGGTCCTAAGCATCTGACCTGGAGTGGGACAGCTTCATCTCCTTTGAAGGGGTACAGGAACTCCCCAGGAGGGGCTCTTGGCATCCCTCTGAGGTGCCTGAAAGCTAATGCTCAACGTGGGGGTAACTCAGCTTTTCTGGAGGTGGAGTCCCACAGCCCCTACACTGTTGTGATTTTAAATTGCAAACAAAATCTGGCAGGGAAGACCCCCACGCCACCCAACCCTCACCCCCTCTAAGACCTGGCCTTCCTCAGTACTGGGACAGAGAGAGGCTCACCCAAGGGCCTCACAAGTTTCCCCCAAAAGATATAAAGTTGTTGCCACAGATCAGGGCTTGAAACGGGTTCACAGGGTCCAGTTTCTAGACCCAGAGGCCTTTTAAAAAACTGCACAAAGTACCCGTGTCTGCTTTGGTCTGGCAGCCTTACCACAAGCCAAGAAGCCGAGGAGCCCTCACAGGCATCCAAGTCACCTCCTGGTGCTTGTTCCTGCACTTGCCCATGAACTCTGCCATCTCCCTCTCTGCTCCTCGGGCCAGTGTTCCACTCAGAACCCTTGGCTTATCTTCAGCTTCCAGAGCGGAGGTTCCAGGGGCACAATGGGCTTCTGTGCCCCTATGTCCTCAACACCCACCCCCTTCCCCGCCCAAACCCCAGCTGCATTCATGGTGTTTTGCTATTGTGGTGGGAGCAGCCTGGGGGTGGTGCGGGAGGGGGGTGGGCTCTTGGCACAGGGACCTGTGCAGACAGGCCGTGGTCAGCGGTCAGCATGCAAGTCACATCCGCAGGCACTGCCACCAGTCCTGCCAGGCTTCGCACAGAATGGCGACGTTCCTGGGCCCCTGGGTCCCTTCGTAGAGTCCCCTCCAGCCCACACACAACTTGCTTCCTGTCCAACTAGCCCCTTGATGGCATTCAGGTGGGGGGTAATTTTTCTTGCCTTCTCAGCGGTTGCTATTTTGGAGCCATATTAGGTCACCAGCTAAGCCCTGGATGCAGGAAAGGCTTGTCCCCAGGAGCACAGCTGGGGCTTCAAGAGGGTTTAGGAGGCAAAGCGGGTGTGGTGGGGGTGAGAGTGAATGAGCCTGAAGCCAAGAGAGCCTTCCGGAATTCAGCAGGTACAGCCCTCCAGCCCACCCCCAAGAAGCCACTGGCCCGTGAGCAGAGGAGAAGCCCCCCCCCACCTCCCCTCACCCAGCCTGTCTGTAGACACATCCTCTCCTGCCTGTATACCTCTCACATCCCACACACATCACCCTGGGGGATAGCAGGGACTACAGCCTATTTTACCAGTTTTACAGATAGGTAAACTGAGGCCCAGAGAGAGACGAGGGTTCCTCCAAAGTCAAATCATGGGAGACTTTTTTCCATCATTGCTCGAGATAACCTTTACCAGCTCCTTCTACACCGGCTTCAGCAAAGGAACATGCCTCTTCATGGGGACACTGAGGTAAGCAGCAGTGAAGTGACAGGAGGCAGGTCTCACTGAGACTCAGCTGGGATCCTGGATGCCAGAAATTTCCAAGAGGAGGCACAGCAGCCTACCCTCACAGGGGACACTTGATGACCCCAAACTCCCAGGCCCTCTTAGCAGAGACCCACATGGTGGGGGGAACAAGGCCAAGATAGGGTGGGAGCAGAGGGGGACTAGTAGAGGCTGATTAGAGACCCCCATTTGACCTGTGAGTCATGGTGACCCTCCTGCCTTTGGGCTCCCACCGGGCCTCCATGAAATCACCCACCATTCACACTGCATCATCTTGTCTATCCAGGCCCCCCTACCCCGAGCCTCTGACTGAATCCCCAGGGGGGGCCACGCAGAACTCAACAAATGTTTGGTAAGAGAACAAACAACTGACAAGCCCCAGGCACTGAAGTAACACCCCACAAACTGTCCTCCAAAACCACTGGTCACAGAAGCCAGTTCCCCGAAGAGGTGGCAAATGTTTTTACAAGAAAGAAAGATTCTCAGCCAAGAACAATTCCTCACGGGGAGAGAGGACTTTCCAGACTCATCTCCCCTAGCTTTGCCCAAATGGCCCAACACAGGTCAGCCAGCCCTTCTCTCTGCTGGCCTAGTGTTGGCCCAGTTCTAGGCCTCAGGTCAACGATTTACGTGTCCAGGTCTCCCCTAGTCAATAACAGCCGAGCTGAACACAGTACGGGGCCAGAAAGGGCAACCCTCTGTCTTCCCTCCACTCCATCCCCAGCACACTGGTGCATACACAGGCCTTCTCCAGCAAACTGTTAAGGACTCTGACTCTCCCGAAACTAACTGGTTTGCCGAGGTCTAGAAGGGAAGTACCCCTTGTGGTTGTCCTCCACCCCGCCCCTTCCCCCTGCACTTTTGCTGAGAGCTGCCAGAAGGAGAGTGAGTGAAGGCCACAGAAGGGTGTCTACAGTTCCCAAATGAGGCAGGACTAAGCAGGAGTGGGCCCAGGAGGAGCCCAGCTGAAGGGAGAGAGGGTGGTATCCAGGAAGGCTCTGAAGACCTCTCAAAGGGGCTGGGAGGTCCTGGCAATCTGTGTATTTATCTAGCTGGGGAAAGATGCACTGCCCCTCCAACTTTGTAACTGAATCCACCCAACAGGCAGACTTTGCAACAGCAGCCCGCCCAGGTTTCTGGAGAAGGCACTGGGCAGCTGGAACCTCTCCCCCTATCTAACCCCCCTCCCAAGAGCTCGAGAGGATTTCCCTTTCATTTCCTTCCAGGCTAGGAGGGCGGGGGACAACGCAGTCTGTGGGGTCAAGCCCTCAAAAACCACTTCCTATGTGTCTGGGGGAGGGCCAAAGGCTGGAGGATGTATCTGGGGGTCCCTGTGTGAGAACAGCAGGAAAGGCCCTTCGGGAGAGTCACTGCTCTCCGGGGTGCCCTTCGGGTCGGGAACCACCGAAGTCGGAGGAGAAAAGATTTTAGGCCCCTCCAAAGGAACTCAGAGCAGAATCCACAGTCTCCGTCCCAGCCAGTGGTGGCCAAGAGGGGGATGGGGTTGGGCGTGGGAAGGACACTTGGAAGGGGCTCACCGCACAGGCCGCGCCCTGGCTGTCTGGAGAGAATCCGGAACCCACCCACCCAGAGGGGCCCCCCAGTCCCCTAGGAGCGGGGCGACCCCGGCTGGGAGACGGAGCAAGAGGGCCCCGCCCGCGCCTGAGCTACTCCCGGCCGGGCTCAGCGAGGAGGTGACGCGCTCCCGGCGCCCCGGGGACTTCGGGCAGCGAGTTTGGCAGAACTGAGCGAAGCCAAGCCAAGCAGGGCCAGGCAATACGGAGCCGGGCCAGGGCCAAGCCAGGAAGAGCCGGGCAGATAGGAAAAGGCCCGGCGCGGTCGACGGAGGGCGGGGGCGCGCTGGGGCACCCACCTCTCCGCGCTGCAGCTGGAAGAAGCTGTTGAGATAGCTGGAGTGCAGGGGCGAGCCCAGCTGCTCCGGGCGGCCCTTGCCGAAGGCCAGCTCTGGGGGTGCGGCGCCGGCGGGCGGCTCAGGCCGGAAGGCATCGAAGGCGCTCGCCTGGTGCGTGTCCTGCAGCGACAGGTAGACCCAGTTCAGCAGCTGGGCCGGCTGGTACACCGAGGCGGCGCTCGTGTCGATGGC